GAAGCTCAAAAGGGTTTCCCTGCTCAGTTTTCAAACAGCAAGAGAAGTGTCTGAAATCAGTCTCTACACAGCTCCAATACAGCACAAACCTTCTGAGCTCGCTGCTGGAGGAGTCTCCTGGGCTGATGGTAACAGTGGTGGTGCTGCTGCCTCCACTGCTTCCTCCTCCTCCTCCTCCTCCTCCTCCTCAGTGCTGCTGTCAGAGTCACTCAGTTCTATTGTCTCGGCTGGGGGCTGTGCCTGGCTGTCCCTCCCAACACGGGAGAACTCCGGGTGTGGAACTGGTCCTGCAGATGGCTCTTGTGTCCTACTGAGCTGGAAGTAATGGTCCAATGCTGCCCTGAGTCCAGAAACACAAGAAACAAAAGCCACAGTCATTTCAGGTAAGCTAAAGACCCACCATGTTTCCCCATGAATGTTTGCAGGAAAATTCCCAGGCTCTGCCTGCAGGAAGGTGTCACTGTTATCAAGTCAGGCCTTCTCTGGTAGGGGCAATCACACAGGATAGACCACATTGTGAGCAATCAGCAGCATCAGCAACAACTCGTTTTGCTCAGTTCAAAGAAAATCTTCTCATTACAACAATGATATTGCCTTCTTTTGGGGGAGAAGGGGATGAGAAAAACAAAGAGTAACATTCACTAATAATCCCAAGGAAACTCCTAATCTGTCTCTCCAACAATAACTCAGCCCTGGTTCCTGAAGGAACTGGTACTGTGAAATGCACACCACTTGGATCAGAGCCTCATTCCATTGACTACTTTGTGCTCAGTCTTTCTACTTTCACTCTTCTTTTCTACTGGAACTTCATCCCTAAATAGAAACATCCTCCCCTCTCCCCCATCAGTTCAGCTATCATCTCAATTATCTTTCAGATTCAAAGGAGTTCCTCAGGTTGCCTTCCAGGCCTAACAACTACAGTGACCTTCACAGGCAATCTGAGGGCAAACAATACATTTGTGTTTAATCAACTGGGAGGAGAGGAGCTCTTGGTCTTGCTGAATTTAAAAGCAATGCTTCAGTTAATTATAATTTCACCCTTGGCATGTACAAAAGCCAGAATGATGAGAGAAAAACAAATAAACTAGAAATTCGGATTTCTTTCTGGCTGGAGAGCATCCCCACTCATCCCCCTTTAATCCCATCCAAATGGTATTAAATAGAGAGGATTTTTTGTCTGAAAGTAAAAGCCAAAAAACAAAACAAAAGCCAAACCAAACCACCAACAAAGCCCTACAGAAAAAATATCAGTTTGTATGCTTGTGAAAGTTTCTGCAGCAACTGTCACCAGTAAATGCAATCAGGCAGACCCCAAATCAAAGGTGAAATGCAAACCAGAGCACAAGCTCCACTGGGCTAAATGCTGGCTGGAACTGCTGAAAATCAGTACTGCAGCAGGAATCATGGACAGGAATCTGGCTGTGCAGAGGGAACAGCAGCAGCACAAGCTCTGCAAGCAAAATTCAAAATGTAGAAGGGCTCAGAAGGAAATATCACCCCTGCCATCATACGAAACAGGGGAATTCACTTAACAAGGGCAAAGAACCAGAAGAGACCAAAGGGAAGAGATCAGAAGTTGCTGTGCTATTACTGAACTTCAAAGGTAAGTGAGGCACCCTGGATTGGGCCCTAGCCACACACCTGGGCTGGGCTCTGCAAGCCAGGACCGTTTGAACTGATGCTGGACTTGATCAGAAAGCAGCTCAGACCCAGTTTCATTTCTGCTTTACCTGGCACTGGGTGTCCTCTGGGAGCCACCGAGTCTGTGCTGCCTGCGAGCTCTCCTGGGCTGCGGCAGGGGCAGTGCCTGCTGCTGCTCCAGCGCCCCTCGCAGCCCCTGCAGCCCCCTGCGGGCCCTGGCAGGACTCGTGTGCAGGTCAGGCTCTGCAGCTGCTCCCCCTGCAGCTGCTCCGGGTGTGCCATGGTCAGCAGGAAGGGCTGCAGCGCTGCCTCCTCCTTCCCCCGGCACAGGAATGTGGGAGGAGAGCGCCGTGGGACCAGAGGGCTCCGGGGAAAATGTCTGGAGGGTCTCCACCGAGTAACCAGCCACTGGTTGGAGATCAACTTCCATCTCTTCTTGAGCCATTTCTGCAAGGAGTTGAAGAAAACTAGTATTTACTTATAACCTTACTTGTAGCCTGATGGTAGCAAGAGCCAGGTACAGCGCTCAGTGACTAAAAATGTTTTTAGAATTCAGAGTCAAGAGAAAATTTGTCCTTTGCAGCAGAGCTAAACCACAAGTCAATACTCACGTGTGAGCTGGGAGCACCCTCCCAGAGCCCTGGGCTCAAAGTCTTTGGCTGAACAGCAGCTAGCACCAAAGGCACATTGCAAAATCAACTTAAATAAGCACTTGGATGAGTATGTAAAGTTAATGTTTTCTTGCTGCCATCATTTACTTGCCAAGTAAATTCATGTGGATCTTGAAGAACAGTTGGAAATAGCTGAGACTCTCCAGGTGAGCAGCACTGCACAAGCAGCCGCAGACACAGCCACAAACAAGCTCTGTGACAGTCCTTTGCTGCACTGCTCTCTTGACTGATGTCCAAGTTTCTTCAGATAAAATTGCTTTATTGTAACAGATCACTGTGACCCTTACCCACAGCACACTGAACAGCCCCTGAGGTATTTACAAACACCAGGCAAAAACCAGAAAGGGCATGACATGTGCAGAGCACATGTGACTGAAACATTACTGGTACCAAATTATCTGCAGCATCAGCATTTGTGGATCCATATTTAGCCCAAGACTGCATAAACATGAAATTTGCAGTAAGACTGCAAATATATTTTGCAATCTTAAAGGATGTTGTATAAAGATGGGCTGCCCTTCTACATCTTTGGCAGATGGATTTCAGGTTACCTCCAGAACAGGAGTACTACCTCAGGGTTTGAAGAAAAACAGAGACAACATTAATGTGCATTATTAATTCTCATGCTGCTGTCAGCCACCAAATTCAGAGCACTTTGGCCACGCTGTTCTTACAACACAAAAAAGTTCAAGATTATCTCATTAATTGAATGAGCAGATTCACCAAAAACTCAGAAGTCCTTTATTGGAAGAGTTGTGTGGATTCAATTCTGCAAGGTGCCGGAAATCATTCACATTCTCCAAAAAGTAATTAAGCAATCATAAACTTGAAAAGCCTTGGGAGCTGCAGACCTTTAGCACTATTCAGAAGCCCAAAGCACAAACACCAGTTTTACCAAGCTGGTAAAATTCACCCAGCTGTATAAAGAGAACAAGTGCTGGTTGTGTATAAAAAGTAGCTAGAAAATGTATACGAGAATTAACAAAAGAGGTTGTACTAAGGCTCAAATATTTTAATAGATATTTTAAGTCTAACTTGTGAATTTCATCATTTTTATCCTGACTGCCAATTCAGCAAGAGAACAAGTGCTGGTTGTGTATAAAAAGTAGCTAGAAAATGTATACGAGAATTAACAAAAGAGGTTGTACTAAGTTTTAATAGATATTTTAAGAAAGTCTAACTTATGAATTTCATCATTCTTATGCTGATTACCAATTCAGCTAAGCTGGGCCAAAAATAGATGTTACCACCTCCCACCAGAAGAGCTGCATGGCCAAGACATGGTCACATTCAACAGTCAGGTACTGCATCTCCAGTACTGCGTTCATGATAGAATTGCTACCCAAAAGTATGATAAACCCTTATTTTCATCACAGAATCACGATGTTAAGTGTTAACAAAGGCACAGTCCCAAAGGGGCAGGACACCTCCCAGCAGGCTTTATCCAGCCTGGCCTGGGGCGCTCCGGGGCTGGACACCCACAGCCTCCCCGGCCACACGCCCCACGGCCCGCGTTATCCGGGCGGCTCACAACAGCGTTAACACCGGCACTGTCGCGGTTAAATGCTGCAATCTACCCCAGAGGGTTACCAGCCAGGCCCTCCCGCGGCGGGCGGCCCGGGCACAGGAGGAACCCGGAGCGCCGAGCGCGGCCCCGGGAGCGCGCCCGGCCCGGCCCGGCACCGCCTCGGCACGGAACCGCCCGAAACACAGCGAGACGCGCGCTCCGCGAGCGGATCCTCCGCGTCTCTTCAGAGCTCCGGAGTTTAGAGACGAGCCCGGCACAGCAAGGCCACGGGAGAGGGATGTCCCCGCTCCGGCAGCCGCAGCAGCCCGGGCGCTCGTGGGAACAGCCGTGCTGGGGAACCGGGCCGGGCCTGGGGATGGAGCTGGGCCGGGATCCCGGCCCGGAGCAAGACACCCGGCCGGGGAGATGGAGCAGTACCGGGATCCCGGCTCGGAACAACCCATCGGGCCCGGGGCATGGAGCAGTGCCGGGATCCCGGCCCCGGGGGATGGAGCCGTGCCGGGAGCCCGGCCCCGATCGCCTCCCGGCCCCGGGGGATGGAGCCGCGCCGGGAGCCCGGCTCCGATCGCCTCCCGGCCCCGAGGGATGGAGCAGTGCCGGGAGCCCGGCCCCGGGGGATGGAGCAGTGCCGGGATCCCGGCCCCGCCGCCCCTCGCTCACCTCCGCCGGGCCCAGCCGCCCGCTCGAGCGCCGCGCCGCCCCGCCCCCGCCGCCCTATTGGCTGGCTGCGACCCCCGCGCCGGCCGCCATTGGGCGAGTCGGAGCCGTTTCCGCCTTCTCATTGGCCAATCGCTCTGTCCGTCTGTTCAACGGGACTGGGAGCGACGGGACGGGAGGCAGGGAGGTGCGGCGTGCTCTGATTGGTCAAAGCGCCGCAGTGAAAGCTGGCTGATTGGGCAACGAGACCCGTGACGGCGTAGGGGGCGGGGCAAGAGCAGGGGAGCGAGTTTTCATTGGCGGAGACGCCGCGTGGCGAAAAGAGCGGGAACAGCAGTTCATTCAAACCGGGAGGGGCGGGCCCGGGGCGAGCCTGAGGGAGCCGGGGGGAGCCCGGGGGAACCCTGAGGTGAGCCCCGAGGTGAGCCGAGCGGAACCGCGAAGGGCTGGGGGGAGCGGGGAGCCCGGGGAAGGCCCCAGGGGAGCCGGGCCCCGGCGGCCCCTGGGCAGCGGCGGGCAGGAGGAGCCCAGGGTGGGTCAGGCTGGAAGCGAGCGCGGTGAGTCTGTGATCCCGGCTCCCTGCGCAGGCAGGATTGTCCCGGAGCGCCTTCACAGGATTGCATCCGGGTGTTGCTGGGGTATCGCCGGCGAGGAGAACTCCTCAGCAACTCTGGGCAATGTTGCAGTGTGATCACCCCCACAGGAAAGGAGCTCTTCCTCATATTCCAGTGCAGGTTCCTGTGCATCATTTTCTGCCCCGTGGCTCTTGTCCTGTTGCCGGGCTGCACCCAGCACAGCCTGGTCCCTCCTCAGCCTCTTCGAGCAGGGACAGCGCTGGTGGCGTCCCCTCTCAGCCGTCTCTCCTCGGGGCTGAACAGGCTCATCTCCCTCACTCTTCTCCTAAAAGAAGCCGTGTTCCATCCCTCTGCTCCCCCAGGCTTCTTGGCAGCCTCTCTTGGGTCACCTCTCTCTCTCCCCAGCTGCCTCCCAGGCGCGGCCCCGAGGGTGTCACACACAGAAACAGCACAGGAGCACCGAGCCCTCGGTCCCTGCCAGGGGGCACAGGGGCCAGGGCACCCTGGGCACCCGGCCCCTTTTCCACAGTTAACTTCCTTGGTTTCTGCTTTTCTCCAGGTCAGCCAGCGAGTCCACAATCTCTGCAAAACACAAGGATGGCGTTAGCCAACACAGAGGACTTGTTTGGATTGCTTTACCAGATGAGGAGATGGCTTTCCCTCAGTGCTGAGGGCTGGGACATGGAGCCACACTCACGGATCAGCAGGGGACAGGTCTGAGCACACAGCCCAGCCCAAACAGCAGTAGCTGTGATTGTGGAAACACCCCTGTGAACAGCTGCAATAAACTCCCTTCAGCTCAGCAGCACGCGGTGCGAGGTGTTGGATTAGGGTCATACTAGGGTAATAAAACCATCCTGTTTCCTCACAGTGACTTTGTCAACATCTCTAATGATGTTTTGGCGTTTTCTCTTCAGCCAGGGCTACTCCCTGTGCCAGGGAGGTGCTGGGGGGAAATGGAAGCACAGAGATGTGACACTCAGTGGTTTCTTGGGCAAATTTCCCACAGCTCTTGTATGGATCTGGTCCTGTAGGATGGAGTGGATGAAATTAGAGAAAGTTTTCCTCCCTTAGACTGAAGAACCAAGGGGAGGGTATGACCTCTGTGACTTCCAACACACCAGAAATGTTCCTCTATAATTTGCTGATGTTGCTGCTGTATCTCCTGATGGAGCCCAGCTGCTCATCTGGTCAGACACAAACCAGCTTCAGAGACAGGGAAAACTGTCACAGAGCAATGCCCAGACTGCAATTTGCCGCTTAAAGCCCAAGGCAGGAAATGTTCCTGCAGAGTGTTGTGGCTGCTCCTCCAGCTTATGGGATCTGCAGGGCCTGAGCAGGGATTAACTCACAGAACCCCACCTCCTGCCCCTGCTTGTCTGATAGAAAAAGCTACTTTTATGTGACACCAAATAAACAAACAGCGTGGTGATAATTGTCATGGCATGGGTAAATAAATGTTAATGTGTGAGGTCTGGAACTGGGGGACTTGTTAGCATAAAAAGGAAGGTCAAGGCAGGATCCCAAAACACAAAACCAGGCAAATTCATACGGGAAAGGAAGGGCAAGCTGCTGATGGAAGGATGCAAAGGGCCTGGAGCAGGTGTCTGGGGCACTCACCCTCAGCAGAAGGGCGTTGGGAAGGGTCAAAGGCCTGGCACTGTTCAATGATTTTCCTCAGATCTTCAGGACAATCTTCCCCAAGAGGGTCCCAGGGATGGTGATTGCAGATTTTCTCCACGATCTCCTCAGGAGTGCAGCCTAGACAGGGAGTGCAAACAGGAGTGTCAGCACGGAGCTCTGCTGCCACAGGAGGGTGCTGGGGAGGAAACCAGCACAGAGCCATGCCAAGAGCCTGCCTGCAGCCTTTGGCAGGGAGAAGCCAGCAGGGAAGTGACCCAAACTCCATCTGCAGTGAATCCCACCCAAATGTATCTGGCATGACACCGTTGGGCTTCAGTGGAGCAAGATGTGCTTGTGCTTAAATGCCCATGACCATCCAATAGAAACAAAAATTATTTGCATTTGTGGTTTAAGCAGGTTGCTTTACTGCAAGCTGTATTTTATTGGAGTTTCAGCAGAAGTTATGAAGCTGGTAGGCACACCAGGCACTGCCACTGGCACCTGCCTGGGATGCTCAGGGGAGGAGCAGGGAGCACCCAGTGCCAGACAGGAGCCACACTGTGCCATGTGGCTTCTATGCAGGGAACCAGATACTTGTGTCTCACCTTCAAATGGGATTTTGGAGGTTGCAATCTCTGCCAGAACGATCCCAAAGCTGGAAGGAGACAAGCAAGAGTCTCAGTATTCATTCCACATGTATTCCTCCCTCCTGGTGGAGAGGAGTGTTGGGCTGTGCCAACTGGAAGCACCTGCTGGTGTGTCCAATTAAACCTGGCCTCCTTCCCCAGCTCAGCAGCTGCTCTGCCAGACACCTGCCTGCTCACAGGCATCTCCTGGGAGGGACAGACACACCTGTATATTTCACAGGGCCTCTTGTAAGGGTAGTTGATGTCTTTCAGGTTCTCTGGAGCGATGTAGGCCAACATAGAGACTTGTTTCCAGTCCTTCTTGGCTTTCCTCTTGATGGATGATTCTGTTTCACACAGCTCAAATCCTGACAGCTGGTTGAGAGAATGAGAAAGAGAAAAGAAGTGGAAACCTGTGGTGCAGCTAGGAACTGCCCCAAGATGGAGAAAACACAGGGAGAGGCCCTGGGCAGTAAAGGCTGGTGTGCAGCCCTGTGTGCTGCCCAGCAGGAGTCTCTTCCTGCAAGTAGAACCAGAGGTGAAGGCAGGTGAATTGCCCCAGCTCCAGCTCATCCCAGGCTGGATGCTTTAGGAACACTCACTTTGCTGATGATAACACCAAACTAGGGAGGTTTGAGTGCCTAAAGTCATAGACGAGATACCACTACTCCATTTTATCCTGGACCATCACAATTCCCCTCAGTGTTGGTGCAGGGAGACGTCCACAAAACCATTTCAAACTCCCAAAAGCATCTCCAAGTGTGGTGCTTACCTTCACACAGTAATCCCCAGCCACCAGGAACTTGCTGCTGCAGATGCAGCCATGGAGTCGGGACTTCTCCCCTGTCTGGTGCAACCTGCAGATGGATGGAACCAAGGGAACACGTGATGATGATGATGATGATGGTGATGATGGACTGACCCCTGATGGACTGACCCATCCCCACCTTGGTGCTCCCTCCTGCCATGGAGGGAATGACTGACATGCAACCAGAGGAGCCAGCAGCCCTCTGCCTGTCTTGGTGGATCAAACCTGCCAAGGCAACCTTTCCAGCAGGCTGGAAGAGCTGCTGTGGGCAAAGCAACCTGTAAGGAGAACTGCCATGTGCAGGGTCCTTCCAAATCTGCCCTGGGGATCTGGGGAAGGGGATTTCCCCCTTCTGGGCCTTCGCAGGCTTGAAGCCAGAGGCAGAGGACAGTGACCAGGGTAGATGGGAGCCACTGCATCCAAATCCACCACCTAACCTTACACCAGTCTCCCATCCCAGGGTCCCAAGGTGGGAATCAGTGCCTAACAAGACACCACAGCATGCTCTGAGATACCAGGAAGCTGCACTCAGCTTTTGGATGATCAGGTGAAGCTGCTCACTGATTTTCACGGGTGCTCACCTGTAGAGGCCTCTGGCAGCTCCCAGGGCCATCCGGATGCGGATATCCCAGGAAAGCTGCTGCTGCTTGCTCAGCACGTCCCGCAGCGTCCCGTGCTTACAGTACTCCATGACGATGGAGAAGCAGGGGCTCCCATCTGCAAGGCAAAATCATCCTGCCTTGTGCCACCTCTGGGGAGGGGACCACAACAAGGCACGTGCCACCAGCCAGCACCGGGGAGGAAAAGGGTGACGTTAATGTGACACCCCTACCGTTCTCCTCAATGCAGATCCCGTACATGCGGAGGATGTTTGGAGACTCAAACTTCTTCAGGGTCTGAATCTCCTTCTCAAAGATGTCTCTCACCTTGCTGTGGAAATGGACAGCGTGGTGAGATCCCTGGAACAAGGCATGGCATGGTGCTGTGCCACCCTCCAGGGGCCACACTCATTCCTGCCCAGGACAACTCACACTGGGTCAGTGGTCAGAGGCCTCTTGAAGGTTTTGATGGCAACAGGGTACTTGAGGTACTCGCCCTCGTAGAGGTCGTAGCTCTCTGTGTCCTGCAGGTGCCTGTGGAAAGTGAGGTGGTCTCGCTTGATCTCAGTGATGTCTTCTCTTTTGCCAACGTTGACCTTCTTCAAGCCTGCTCCCACCATGTGCCAGAAGGGAACAAGGGACACATTAGGCAGGGCTTGGGGGGAAGGGATAGAGTGCACAGGGTGCAGGTGGTGTGGCATTGGCTTACGCTCCATCTCACGAATGACTTTGTTCAGCTCGCTTTTCATCCAGTCCATCTTGCTCTCCATATGCTCCCTGTCGATGTAGATCTCCTCAAGTGCATCTTTGGGCTCCTCAGTACCTAGGGACAGAAGCAAGCAGAGGTTGGGCCACTGGATGAGCAAGCATGGCTGTGTGGTTTGTTTTTTTCATGGTTTAAATGTCCCTTTGGCTCTTCATGGCCGTGGCCATCAAGCCAGAGCTAGGTAACAGCTGGACAGAAGGGCCAGCCAGGAGCTGCAGGGAAGGAGGGTTTGCTAGATGCACTCACTTGCAATCACCTGGTCCAAGAAAGCTCTGTCATCCCTCAGGTCCTCAGCGTCCTGCCTGCGACACGTCTTTGACTGGAAAGCTTCCAGGAAAGCCTGCTTCTGCTCTGCCTGCAGCAGGAGCGAGAGCCCCTGGGCAATGTCCTCCAGGCTTTCATTCACCCAGACAAACTCCTCGCCAGTGCTTCGGGCTCGCAGGAACTTCTGGATCCAGCTTGTCTGGCTGTATTTCATCACCAGTTTCTGGGCTTCCTCCAGTGCCCGGAGCAGCTTTTTCATCAGTTCCTCTTCGTGGTGGGAGATGTGCTGTCGTGGCTGAGCCCTGAGGATCCTCACGGGCTCCAGCAGAATCTGGATGCGCTCCACGAGGCGCTGGCACTGGTGCTTACAGCACTTCACCTGCTCGAACTGGGCATGGATGGCCTGGGCCACAGAGAGGACCCTCTCCACGATGTCCATGCTTGCAGCAGAGGGCTTGGCTGGGGGATGTGGGCTGGCAGTGTCTGGTGCAGGAAAGCCTCAGAGATCAGCCAGATGCAGCTCTTGCACACCTTGCACCCTGTGGAACAGCCTGATATGGCACACATCCTCCCAGCCCTCACATCTCCAGCTGCCTTGCTTTCCCTGCTTTGCTGCCACTGCAGCTGCTCGTGCAGACTGCAGCAGGCACACGCAGAGACATCGGTGGCAGCAGTAGTGGCACATCTTTCTCTGCAGTAGCAGGAGATGTTTTGGCTCGATTTATGTACATTAATTTAGTGTGAGCCATCCCAGAGAGCTTCCACCCAGAGGAGCAGGGACATCAGTGGCCCAAGGAGCATCCCCTGGCAGCATTCCTGGCTCCAGCCTCGCATCACCCTGGGTTCCTGCCTGCAGAGCCCATCTCTTTGGCTGTAAAGATCTATTTTCATTTCTACCCAATGTCTCTCTCTGTGGTCACCCATCTAATAAAGGCTTGCACGTCTTCACAGCCCCAGCATCCCCAGCTTCTCCCCATAGCTCTGTCCTGCCCACTTAAGATTTTGATTTTAAATCAAGCTCTTTCTATGCGCTCAGCATCCCCACAAGGATGGTGCCTGCTCCCCAGCCCACGTGCAGGTAGCAAGGACAGAAAACCACCCCTGTTGCAGGGAAATTAGCAGCAGCCCCTCTGATGCAGCCAACAGTACGAGAGCAGTGCCAGGATCTCCTGGCTGGAAGCGAGATGGAAACGCACCCAAAATCAGCTGCAGCCACTGTCCTGTCCTCTTCAGGCTCTCCCCTTCTCTCACGGCCCCAAGGGAGGATCTCTTCTGCTCCCCAGGAGGAAGGAAGCTCTGTCAGCTGCTGCTGCCTGGGCTGTCTGGGCAGACTGGAGGGGCACGGCAGGACACGCGTGGCTTTAAAGGGTGTCACGGCGGAAGGGACCTTGTGCAACCCCACTTCCCACGCCAGCACAGCTCCCAGTTCCCAGAAAGCTGCTCGGGGTATTCCCAAGGCCTGTGTGCCCTTGTGCTGGGCTTTGCCTGATGGAAGAAGGAATTGCCCACAGGAAGTGCAGTGGGAAAAAGGGGATGGGGAAGTTGAGTGTGCCTGTATTGATGCTTCTGCTATTTTGAGCACTAAACCCATTCTGCTGTGCTGGCAGCTGTGGGAAGGTTTGCCCAGGGCACTGGAACACCCACAGCAAGGCTCTGTGCCCTGCTGAACTCCCTGCATGGGCAGCGAGACCCTCCAGAGCACAGCCCTGCTCCAAGCCCCATCCCCGAGCCCCAGGGGAGGTGGGCTGTGGGCACCAGGGCTGGAAGCAGGGCTTGACCTCTGCTGGGAGGGCAGGAAGTTTTACAGATGGCTTCGTCAGAGGGCCAGGCTGGTTTTGGGAAGCTCCGGGGTGCACGCGACGCTGTTGCCCAACTTCAGAGAAGTGAGTGGCAGCTTCTGCTTAGCCAGAGCCCCAGCGTCACACAGGTTTGCTGAGAATAGCCCTGCAAATCTCCTACCTCACTGTGGCTGACGAGGGGAGCCAGGAATGGTGGCTCCAAAGGCCATCAGCACTTGGAAAGGGACACACGAAGGGTGGGAGAACAGACTTGTGAGCAGCCCTGGGGGATACATTTCCCAGACCCTTTTTAGAAAGTTTTATTTTTCAAAATATACAGTTTATTTACAATTGTAGTGTCTACAGTTTTACATATAAATTTATTTCAAACCTTTAAATATCTGCAGTAAACATTAGGGAAAAAATAATAAAAAATAAAATCACAGGATCAGCAAAAAAGGCATCTCAGTAATTCTTTTCATTGGAGTTTGAGTTTCAAGTGCCAATGTCTATGAAAACCATGAACTTGATAAATCTGGCAGAGAGATATGGGTGCACTGGTTAGAAAAAGGCACAATCCAGAGCTGTGGGACCCGCCCCAAAAGGGCTGCAGGCCAAGAAAACCCCGTGCTGAGATGGGCTGGGAGAAGGACCTAGGGCAGGGAATCCCCTTGGCATGAGTTAGGCAACTGGGGCAACTGCAGTGTGCTGGGTGCCCTGGGAGAGGGCAGCCAGGAGAGCCAGGGGCTCTGTCAAGGTGCCAGGGCAGAGGAGGGAGGGCAGCATCAGGCACTTCATCTCTCAGGCAGCAATCTGCCCGTGCATCCATAGCCTGGGCAGCGAGGTAGGGGCAGGAGTCCACCAGGGAACCCCACGGCCTCCTCCTCCCCTTTCCTCACCATCCTCAGCCCCCCCATCCCCTTGCCAGTGCCACAGCTGGACCACAGCACTCCACAGGGATGCTCCACTTTGGAGTCACTGCTGTGGCACAGCCCCCAGGGAGGGGCAGGGAGCAGATGGCCTCGCTGGGGGCTGGGGAGGGACACCAGCCCCAGGGCAGGGGGTACAGAGCCAGCAGCTGAGCACTGGGCTGGGGCTGTCAGTCCTCCTTCTTGAAGGTCTCCTCAGGGATGAGTGTCCGGAAAGGATAATCCCAGAAGCGTGTGCTGATGCCAAAACCTGTGGGCAGGGAAGAGAGACTTCAGCCCATGGCACCATCATCGAGGTGTTGCAAGGGCTCTGTGTTAACTGGTGAGGGAGGAGTGTCCACATTTTGGGAAGGGAGGAAGGCAAAGTGAAGACAAGGAGGAAGAGCAGAGGGAGCAGGAGCTGGCTGGGCCATGCCAACAAGCCCCATGGATGATAGCTTATCTGGATGGGGCGTTTTCTCCTAGGAAACCGGGCAAAGGGCAGGTTGAGCAAGCACTGGGCTAGGGAAAGTGTGGGACGGATCTGGGGAAGCCTGGGGCCTCACCCTACACCTGTCAACGCCTCCCAGCAGGAAGAGATGCTGCCCCGGGCAGGGATAGACACCCACATCCAACACCACAGGGGTTTGTTCTCTGCCTGGCATTCCAGGCAGCACTGATGCCCACCAGTGAGACGGGTGCTGCCTTCACCCCTGCCTCAACCTGGCAGCCAGGAAATATTCTCCATGGGCTGCAGCACCTCACACGCTGCTTCCCCAGCAGCGCAGTGCTTGGCTTTCCTCATCCCAAACCCCAAACACTTTGGAGCAATCATCTCCACACATACAGGCAGACTGCAGCCCTGACAGCCCTTTCCCCCGGGGAACGGGGCGCTACCTGATCTTTGGTGTTCAAAGTGGTGCTTGACGTGGTACGCCTTGAGGCCATACAGGTAGGTGCCCTTCCTGGGAGAGCCGTAGTGCAGGTAGTAGTGCATCATGTCGTAGATGACGTAGCCGCAGAGGCCCCCGACGAACACGGAGAGCCCCAGCACCGCGGGCAGCAGCAGCCGCAGCACGCCGTAGAAGAAGCCGATCACCAGCGAGGCTGGCACCGGAGGGAAGACCAGGCGGGAGCTGTCGAAGGGAGACTGGAAGCAGAGAGGGACGGTGGGACAGGCAGCTCCTGCTCCCCCCCAGCACATCCCTGCCAAGCATCAGGGAAACCCAACCCCAAAAACCCTCCCCAGAGTTGTACCCCCCATGCATGCCAAGGTGCCCAGGCAGGTGGTAGCTTTATCTGCCCAAGCTCCAAATTTCCTCCAGCAAAATTATGGCTCTTTTGGTTTTCCCCCTTGCCCAACCACACAGCTTGAAAATTTAACTCCAGCTCCTCCAAGGCCGTTTTACAGCCCTTGCTGGTATTGGGTAAGTGCGTCGCTTGGGATGCCACCAGTCACACTGAGCAGGCACCAACAGGCTCTGTCTGGGCAAAGGGCACACAGCAACAGGCTCCAGTGGGGCAAAGGCCACCATTCCCACGGCCCAGCAGGTGCCAGCGGGGGCGGGAGCTGCGACTCACCTTGTGATGCTGCCCATGCAGCAAGAAATGCAGCGTGATGAGATAGTAATTACTAGCGGGTGGCTTCATGTGGAAGACAAAGCGATGGATGAGGTACTCTAGCAGGGACCACAGGATCATTCCCAGCAGGAAGATGAAGGGGAAGTAGTATTTGTGGACAGGGATGGAGTACTCTACACAATGAGACGTGCAGTGGTCAGCAGGGCAGGCAACATGCAGGTGCTTTTATCCATCGCTATCCTCCCACTGGCACCAGGGTGATACTGAGCTGTCCCTCCCACTGCTCATCCACCTCCTGTCCTGAGCTTCTCTAGGGAGCTAACTGCCCAAGCTCTGCTCTAAACCACATTTTTCTTTGATTCTTACTAATTTACAGAAACAGGCTGCTTCTTGCTGCCTCAGGAAGACAGTGAGGGGAGCTCCCTGCATTCCAGATTGCAGCGGGGGCTTGGATGTGCACTCTAGGGACTGCGTCACCATTACAAAGCTGCTTCACCCACCAGAACAAGGCAGGAGGGACCTTAATTGCACAGGCAGCACTCGTGACAGTAAAACAGTGCTGTTGGTGTTGGTGTTTATTTTTCTGGGGGAAAAAGAATAGACTTGTTGGGCACTTTCCCCCGCAGAACATTTTTCAGCCACCTCCTTCTTTCAGGGCTGGCTGCCAGCCCCGTGTCCTTCCCAGCGAAATTTTGATTGCCCCAAAACCCGCTTATTTTTAGGAAAAAAACCCCACAAAACTTGGCAGCAAGGTGCTGAATGCCACAAGGATCAGGGAGTGCCTGTGCAGCCGGCGCTCCCCACGCCACAGCCGGGCACAGCTGGCACTGGGTGGCACCTTGCGAAAAAAACAGGGAACCCAGCAAAAAAAGAAAAGAAAAAAAAAAAAAAAAAAAAAAAAAAAAAAAAAAAAAAGACAACAACAAAGAAGACAGCCTGCCCCGGCCAGGCTTGTTGTTCCCGGGGGAGCGGGGAGCAGACAGTGGGAGATTCAAGGGCAGGCGCTCCGGGCAAACAAGCCCCGCACTGTGCGGAGCCGCGGCGCTCAGAGCCGGGTTTGTTCGCCCGGGTGGGCGGCTCAGCCCAGCCCCGGCACGGCTGGCTGCGGGGGCTTGGCAGCAGGGAGGACTTTGCTGCAGGCTGCAGCCCAGGTCAGCGGGCTCTGTGCCTCTACTGAATTCCCGGGGGACCAAAGGTGGTGAGAGGAGGGGAATGGAGGTGGGCAAGCACAGGTGGCTTCGTGCAGGGGACGTGCTGGTGGCCACAAGGCAGAGGGGCTGACCTGCTGCTCTTGCATGGGCTTGTGGTGAGCACGTACAGAAGGAGGGATGAGGAAGGGGTGCAGGTCTCACCCACCCCGGGCTCATAGTGGGGTCAGTAATGGAAGGCCAAAGGCGTTGCTGCTGCTCGTACCTGTGGTGAAGGAGGAGAAGAGCCTGGTGTTGCCCTGAGCAAGGGAGGTGTAGCTGACCCAGCTGAGATAGAGCACCACGGGCGTCCATACCAAGAACACCACGTACCTGTGGGTAGAAGGAGATGTCAGAGGAAGTGTCCTGCTGGCTGGTGAGCCATGCCCCCTCCCGGGGCAGCACCCTCCAGGGCACAGTGCAGAGCCTGCGAGCTCACCATGCTGTCTTGGAGAGGAACTCAAGGAAATCCGAGTGGAAGAGGCGGATGGGCCGGTCCACAGGCTGGTGCACCCACTCGTCGTACTTCTCCCCTAAGTAGCCCACCTGCCACAGCAAGGGCTTCTGCCAGTCTACCAGGTCCTGAGGGAGCAGACAGTGGTTGTAGTGCTGTGGGACACACAAACCATCCCAGCACCAGGCACAAAGCTGAGCTGCTGCTGCTGCTGCTGCAGGATTTTGGGCTGCAAACCCCTTCCCATGCCCCAAGAGCAGCTGCTTCTGGTTTCAAGGTGCCCTGAGCTCCCCACAAGCACAGGGCAGACAAGGAGCCAAACACACATCAGCCCCAGGGCTTAGCTCACCCCTGTGCCAGCGGGTACCTGCCAGCAGATCAAGGTGAAGGGGGCTGTGCCCAGACCTGGGTCAGCA